GTAGTGATCCTCCTGTTTTCAGCCTCCCAAGTGCTGGGATTACAGGCGCATGCCACCATGCCCAATCTCAATTGCCATCTCATCATGCCCCGGGGGGTGGGGCCAGCAGTCTCACCATGCCCCGGGGGGTGGGGCCGGCACAGCTTGTGGTGCCAAGGATCGAACCCTGGGCGCTGCACTCTGCCCAAGCAGGTACTTTAGTCTGCTGAGCTATCTGGCCAGCCTTTGATCCTCTTTTATTTACTTTTCTCTAACTATTTGATCATTGAAGCTTATAAGGCTACCTGCAGCAGCCTATCTCAAAATCCATAATCCTCCCTTACTATAAATGTGATCAGCGTTACACCAACTCAGAGCTTTAAACACCTCCTGCCTACCTGTGGTCAGTATTCTCTCCTCAACCATTCTCTTTTATCCAGTACGTTTTCTCCCAAGTTGCATCAATGTAGCACAGCCTCAATTACTTTATTTCTGGTCTTTGGTGATTTTTTTTTCCCCAGCCCATTAAGAATACTCTACAGGCCATTCTGACACTTACAAAGACACATCTCTTACAGAACCACTTCCTGCCCCCCCATAGGATTCTGGGCCCCTACCCAGACTGAACTTGCCAAACCCTTCAGACTCCTATGCTTCCCCCTTCTTAGCCCATTAGCTAAAATTCACTTCTGGTCTATAACTCTGAAGCCCTTACCATGCTGAAAGTTTTGTCCAAACCTCACCTGCCCTAAGAAAATGCTGTAAATTTCCTACTATTAATTAGCTGCTCGGTCCCTGTGTCTGTGTATCTATGTCAGCTGTTATACAAGGTTGAGAAGTTTGTACAACACTTTAGTTTCTGACTACGCCTGTGTTCACTATGTATCTTTTTTTCCTTCTTTTTTTAAAGAACATAAACTGTTCATGATTGTGTAACTGGAATACCAGGGGAAGATAGATACAATAACAAATATAAATATAATGCCAAAATAACCTTCACTTGGGATGAATGCGGTGGTCTTTGAGCTTGGATGCTTGGAGAGCCTATTTTTGTCTTTCTCTCTGTCCTAGGGACCTCCAGGAACTTGATGATAGTACCCAGCTCCCTCTGCTTTGCCACTTCTCAGAAACAGCTGAAGGACTCACCACCATCCGGGCTTTCAGGTGAATGAACATGTTTTTGTGTAGGCTGTTATTCCATCAATAAATGCTTATCAACAAATGTTAGATAATATCTACCAGTATGGATGGCCACCATATGTTTGGCAGTAAACTAAAGAAGGACTAGGAAAACTGTGGCGTAAATGATTAGAGTTAGAACTTGATTGTCTAAAATTTTAATAAGAGTAAAAAAATGATGAAGCAATATATTGGAAAGGTATTAATGGTGTGACGTGGGCAAAGTTTTTTAATTCCCTGGCCTCTGTTTCTTTATCTATGAGATGAAGAAATTAATCTTTCCTCAATCCAATAATCCAGTCATCATTGGATTACTCTACAGTGACTACTGAAGAAGCATCCAATAAACAAATCTAAACCCGCTGTATAAACAGAAGTGGTCATCACAACTCTAACAATGTTTGTAAACAGCAGTAACCTAAGCTTCTGACGAAGAATGTTTATTTATCTCTCAAAAAAGTACCAAGCTTCATTGTCTCCTTCAAGTCAGACCAGAGAAAGAGACAGCATAACTCATTGTTTCATCTTGTCTGGAAAATTGACATTTTAAAGTGCTGCATCTTTATACAATCCTAATTGGTAATATATATTGATTTAGATGGGAGAGTTTTTCATTTCTTCTTTTTCTGTTTTTAGTCCTGGGGATCAGACTCAGGACCTTGTGCTTCCCAGGCAGGCACTGTGCTGCTGAGCTATATCCCCGGCCCTGGGAGAATTTTTCTAACCTAAGATATTTCTTTTAAAATGTAGAAATGGGCCACAGAGAAGCATGTACAGTACAACTATCCTCAACATTATATATTGAGGAATTTCTCCATAAATCTAGTAAATCCATCATGCAGTGTTTACAGTTTCTCAATGATGTGTTTTCCAATTACAGTGTGTAAAGCCTTTTTCTGAGAATATAAAAATAATTTATTGCTGTATATATTATTAACATAAGATTTATACTCTATTAGTTGCCAGGAATAATCATTAGTAAATACACCATACCAAAGATTACTTTTTGACAAACAAGTTCTTCCAAGTTAATTTACTTAAGTAATACTTTTTTGAAATATACATATATACATATATATGTGCCAGTTATACTTCTTGCTGTAGATGAAGCCTGATATGAGAAGGCATTTCATTTATACCCCAAGTAAAGGTGCTCTTTGCCACCCCCTTACCTGCCATGTTATCCTATTTATCTCCCTTGCGATATTTATCTGACAACTATTTTTAAAGCTGATGACATGTTTGTTACCCATCCTTTTTTTTTTTTTTTTTTTTTTTTTTGTGGAACTGGGGATTGAACTCAGGCCCTTGCACTTGCCAGGGAAGCACTTATTCCACTGAGCCATCTTCCCAGCCCCTACCCATCCCTTTAATGTAAGCTCTGTGACAGCAAGCCTTCTTCTTCCCCAGTATATGAGTAAAATGCCTGCTGCTGCAAAAGTGTTTAAGAAACTTATATTGACTGACTATATTGAGCAGGGGCTGCATCCTAAGGATCTCTCAGCCTAGTAGGAAAGCATATTTAAGAAAAAAAGAAAAATGATATGGAAGATACATCACCTAGTATGTCTACCACAAGAAGCAAGAGTATCAGAGAGTAAGGTAGTGCCTCAGCATAGGGAGGTAATTACTGAACTGTAAGTGTTTGGGTGAAGAATCGTTGACTTGGCAGGTAGAGGGGCTGAGGTGTTCAAAGCACAGGTCATAGCAGTGTAAAAGCAGGTGGATTGCTATTTTATGTAGAAATCAAGAATCCAATATTGTCAGAGCACAAAGTACAGAGAAGATGGCTCTCATAATGATAATACAAGCTGATGTTGATAAAGGGTGTTACGTAGGTACTGCAAAGGACCTCAGACCTTATTCTTTTTGTGTTGGGGGATCATGGTCTTGGCCACTTTCTCACAGTGGAGCACAATGCCCAAAACACACAACTTAAAGAATGAGAGGGTTTTTATCTTTAGAGAATCTAGTCCACGTTCAGTCATCTCCAAGGCAGGAGGGATGTGAGAGAAGGGTCACAAAGAGGAAAGCTTCCCAAGTAATGGAGACAGTGATGGAAGGACCTGGGAAGGCAGAGATAAATGGCCACATTATGTCCCAAGACCTCTTCCAACCAGAGCCTACCTCCAACAGCATACTCAGCTCTGAACTCTTCAGTGGATTCATTCACAGATGAGCATAGCAACCCTATGATCCAATCACCTTGCAGAAGCCCCATCTTTCAACATGAGAGTCTTTTCAGGAACATTCTAGATATAAACCATACCACTGAAGGATTTTTAACAGGCAAATGTCAGGGTTGTGTTTATTGCAATAACCCTGATTTACTATGAAGGATGAGTTAGGAATGGTCAGGGCCAAAGGCAGGAAGATGCCAGGAAGCTTTTGCAAGTAGTCCAGTGAAAGACAGCAGAGCTGCCTAAGACAAGTACTCAGGATTTGGAAGCAAAGTATATGTTTTAGAACTATCTGGGAATCAGAGGCAATGAGATTTAGGGATTGAATATAAGAGAGAAATTGAAGATGGTGCTGCCTGGATTTTCAGGAACAAGCACTGTTTTCCAGGTTGCCAAGCTGAAGGTAATGTGAAGGATTGGAGAAGGATAGGAGAGGTTTGGTTATGAGCAAGTAGGTGTGACTACTCATCTGACACACAGCTGGGGAATTTTGTGGCCCATGGCACATGGAAGTCTAGGAGACATCTCAAGGCAAAAGAGAATGGGTTTGGGCATCACCCCCTTAACAGATGTTATTTCAAGTGTTAGCTATAGATTTGACTGTCAAAAGAGTAAGTGCTGACTAAGGAAACTTGATTAAAATCTTCAGACCACCAGCACTTAAGGAGCAGTGGATTAAAAGATCCTACGGAAAATACAGTCAGCTACACTGATAATTTATTCAAGGCTGGCCCTCAGGGTCCTGCTTCAGACAGATTTTATGACCTATTCCTCCCAACCTCCTCTGATGTTTGGCTCCTCAGTGTTTTTCTCATTGTTGGAATATCAGCCCATAGTTCTCAATGTGCTGTGGGAAGCCTTCCCTGGAATCAGAATTACATTACAAGCTTTCTTAAGATCTCTATGCCAGCTTGTAAACTTATCACACTGTACCAAAAGCATCTGTTTCTGTGTATGCATTTCTCTGAAAGATTGGGAGCTCCTTAGGAACTAATGGTACATCTTTTATCTTTATCTTCAAACTATTACTACTTGAGTCAACACATAGAAGTTCAAGTGTCATAGAAATAAATTAAAGAGCACTGTTACTTTCTGTTGATAACCCTGTGACTCTTTGCTTCCACTTCTGTCCACTTTCATCTCTTTTTACTCAGACTCAACCTTCATTTTCTGGTCAGTATCCTCAGGAAGGGAATGGGTCTTGTCCCTTGCCATCGCGTCAGTTTTACAACTAAAAATCCTTTTGTATAATTCTTGATCCCAGCCAACTGCCACACAGGCCAGCCTGATGCAATCAAATCTAAACTAGCGTATTCTCTACCAAAGGAGGATGGAAACCTTGGCAACTGGCCAGCTGTTGTAGCAGCCTGAATCTTGAAAAGGTTCAAGTCCTATATCCCATGCATACCAAGTCAATCTTGGTCAAGATTAAATTCACTGAGGCTCCTTCTCATGTTCTGGATGGATCTATATGGAAGAAACCACCATCCAAGAACTCTCCTACCCCAAGGGACACCAGAGGAACGTAGGTGATTATCTGAAATCTTTCTTACTTCTTCATCTGAATGACATCTAACGAGCAAACATTTACCTTGAATAGCTCTACCCAGGTCAAGGGCAGGTCTAGAAGGGCGAATCATTGTACTTATTTTTGTTCCATATGTACCTGCGGAATGGACCTTAATTTAGACTTTTCTTCTTCTTAAGACTACAATGGTGTACTAGGACTGAATATTATCACTTGGTAGGGCAGATCCCATCATCCTAGCAAAGGGAAGAACTTCAGATATTAATAAAATAAGTCAACTAAATAGTAGGCAAAGAATCAAGATAGTGGTGGGAGTTAAACAAATGAAAATATATTAATTGTGTGATTTAGACAAGGACACAGTGTCAATGAAGTTAAACAAGATAGTATTTTAAGAAGAAATTGAAAGTCCTGAAGTGGTTAAAGCAGAAAAGAAGAATTAAAGGGAATTTAAAGTGTTCTTTGGAAATGGAAACCATCTCCAAAGGGGTTCTGTAATCTTAACAAAAATGATGAAGTGGAAGAGGACAGAAGTCAGAATTCAGGGGGTTGAAGAATGCACTAGGAATGAGAATGTGAAGGTAACAAGGGAGAGCTGCTCTTTCCAGAAGCATCACTGGGGTAGAAAGAGTTATTTAAGGCAGTTTCGGCTATCTTTGTTCTTTTAATAAGGTAATGAGGTAAGGCAATGGGACATTGTAAAGGGAAAAGTGAAGAAGTAGAGATATAGGAAGGATGGGAAAATTGGTGGTGCAAACCTTCATATCTGAAGACAGAATTGTTCAAGTGCCTACATGGAGAGATTAGCTCAACTCAAACAGGATGTGGTCCAGAGATTTGTCTATGAAGATACAGAAGAATGCAAATAGGTTCAGGCAAACGCAGCGGAGCTGCGGGAAGTTGATGGGGTCAACCTCTAAGAGTATTTTTTTCCTTAATGGACAAGGTTAGGTCATGTGAGGGTGCTTCAGATAAGAATTAGTAAAAGCACCTTGAAGTGATTGAGGAAGATTTAGAATTAAGGAGGAAACTGACCCACAATCAAGGTTCATTTTTTTACTAGACACAAAAGTAGAATTTAGTGATACTATTGCCAATTTTACATTGGAAAAAATTATAGGTAGCTGTAAGAAGAACAAAATCATGGAAACCTTCCATGATTGAATTTTAGAAGAATAAAGACATCCCAACTTCTACGTAGAAGTATACTACCTATATTTAGACCCAGTTTTAAGTCTCCTACAGTTCATTTAAAAAGCAGATATTAAATTCCATGAAAACCAGAACAAGTCTTGAAAATGTAGGGATGGCCCTGCTGCCATGGATAAGATTTTAGAATCTTTATGTTTGGTATTTGTGGGCAAGAATCAGACAAGCTCTTTTCCTTCCATCTGTTCTTTTCTTTCCAGCTCCCCAGCTCCCCAGAGTCTGGCGCTCTTTTGGAAAGTTAGTATTTACTGATTAGGCTGCTTTTCCTCCCCTGGTGTTAGGGTTCGCGGTGTACTCACATGAACAGTGAACTCCCTCAAGTAATTTACCACGAAAGCATCACAGTTAATTGGACTGAGATTTCAGTGACCTTCCTTTGCTTTTTTTCCCCTTTTGTCTGACAGAATAAAGGTCTAAGAATGTTCAGAAGATGAGCTGGATGTGGATGAAAAGATACAGACTGAGTGTGTCAAAGTTTCCATTAGGAAAACAGAAGGTTTCTTGCCAACTAGAAACACACAGAAAGAATGTTCATTGCATTTCGCCCCTCCCCTCTCGGTGCTGCCTCAGATTGTCTCTAGCTCCATTTACCAGCCCTCTCAGAGCTTATCTGAAACAATACTGCACAACTAAAGGGAGAGTAAGAAGAGCCCCAGACAAAACACTGTCAAAGTCAAATGTTTGATATTCATCTCACATGAGCTTCATAAGCTTTGCTCCAGCTGGCCTCATCTCGTCACTATCTCCACAGTCCACTGGGGAGAAAAACCATCTCAGTCTTCCTGAACATGCTCAGCTTTCTCATTTGTGTGTGTTCACTCTTGTTGTTCCTGCTACTTAGAACGCTTTGGTCTCCTGCAAAATTAGCTTGTCTCCACACTCAGGCCATGTTTCCTATCCTTTGAAAAACTCAGCTTAACCTCTGGCTCTCTTCATCTTCCATCCTTTTGCATATCATTCTGAACATTCTGATCTGTGCAAGTCATCATCTTCCTTTTTGACTGCATGGCATCTTGGGAACATGCGTTGTACCATGCCCACTTGTTAGTACTGAGTTTAGTTCTGTCATAGAGAGTGGATTTCTCTAGGAAAGAGAATATATCTTCCTCATAGGTATATCCTCAGTCAAGCACAGTGATTCCCTTAGAATTGATGTTTGCTAAGTGTTTCTGAACAAATGGATGAAAATCTACCTGTGCGTACCAGTAGGCACAAAAGGCATGAACTTACATGAATATTTACAGCTCCTATCTATTACCACAGTAAATCGTAATCACGCATTAGTTTTAGAATTAGTGAAACCCCCTACTTTTTAGCTATTCACTGTATTTGCCCTAAAAGACCCACGTAGAGGGTACATAGGTCTCTGAGATGGCTCCATCACACACTAGCATGCTGTCCCTGAGCAAAGGTCCTCCTGTGCGTGGCACTTAGGTCAAGGCCACATAACTCAAAATGAAGTAATTATTTGGCTGTGATTGCTGAATCCTTTGATTATTATGGATCAGATGTTTCTGTCTGGCTGAATTATCTATCTGGCGTAACATACTGGAATGATCATATTGATTGGAGACATATCAAGTATCTGCTTTATAGTGGCTTGTATGGATCGTGTCAGTAGGCCAAGTGCACGCTCCACCCAGGACTTCATTCTTTGATACAAATGCTGGTTTATTAAAAAAAGTTTTGCAATTTTACTTGATCATGGGAGGAGGAAGGGAGTATGCTTATCAGACAAGAATCATTACCCGGTTGTCACATGAAATCTGGCTCTTTCTTGCAAAATAACCCATAAGATGGGTTATATAAGACTAGCCTTGATTACAATGAGTGAGTAAACCACATTTGATTTGGCATTTCCCCAACTCTCAAGCCAGTTACTGTCCAACTTTCCATTGTTTCTGTTATTCAGGGAAAATAATTGCAAAATGAAGAGACTATTTTGGTAATTCAAAATAGATTTTTTTTTTAACCATGTAGCGTGGTTTCCTGTGACAGCAGCTCACATGTTCAAACGGGCAATTTCACTTATAAAATAGGGTCATGTTGAGGATCAAGAATGAACTTAAAATACATCCAAAATATGTGTGTCATGGATTCCCTCCAAAACCACAGACCAAGATCCTTTTTATGAACTGACCATCCTTACAAACAGCTCTACATGTTGGTATGTACATATCTTATCCACCAAGTACATTTACCATCTGTGAGCCACCCCCCTCGTCATCTTCTTGACACCCATTTTTTTTCTTTGGTTCTCGGAAACATCAGGCAACACAGAACTTTTGAAGTATATATTTACCTGTTGCAAAGGCAAAGTTTCTTACCTTTCTCTTGCCTGACATCTCTCACTGAACTCTCAATCATATCCTTTAGAAATGCACAGAAAATATCATTAAAAGAAGGTAGAATATATTTCATTTTCTTATAACTCATTGTGGTTGCTGTAGGACACTGGCAACACAGGCCATGCCTTGTTTTTATGGCCACAATAAGTCCGTGGAAATTTATGTAATGGTCTTTAATAAAAATTTGTCATCAGAGAGACTCCTTTCCTTCATAGGGTTGTGAAAAAAGGAGCACACACGCAACCTCACCATGGTTACTAGCACTGCTCGGAGGTCCAGCAGCTGGTCTTTATTTTGAAGTAGGAGTCTACTTACCAGGCATCCGATCCCGTCACTTTGTCACTTTGTTGAGTAAATTGTGTAGCGGTAAGTGTGACTGGTTTTTATTACTGTTCCTGTTGTGTGGCTAACACCATAATATTTTTGTTTTCTGCAGGCATGAAACCAGATTTAAGCAGCGTATGCTGGAACTGACAGACACAAACAACATTGCCTACTTGTTCCTCTCGGCTGCCAACAGATGGCTAGAGGTCAGAACGGTATGTTCATTTCATCATTTTTGAAATGGAAACCAAACAGAGAAGAGGCGTGAGGTGGAGAGGCAGAGAGTTGTAAAAATGGACCTTCCACTGAGGCAGCCTCATCCTCACATCTTCTGGACTTTAAAATAGCTCCGGTTTGTTTATGTTCCAGATGAAATTTGTCATAATGTTTTAACTAATGGCAAGACAAATAGCCCCCAAAGCAGAAATTCATTTGGTGTTCATTATAGTGTTCAGACTTCGTAAGTTAATGGGTTAGCAAATATTTATATAACTACCATTCTTTTAAAAAGCAAATTTAACAAGTGACCAGCTCTCCTCATTTCCTTCATTGAGCTGAGCAGGCTGGAAGACATGGCAACTTCCTATGTTTTAAGCCAGTGGAGCATCATGTTGACACAAAATATTAAAAAAACACTACGATTAATTGTTTATTGTTTGCTTTAGTTATGGGTGATGTAGAAGAACAATCATAAGCTCTGGCGTTGCACACACCTGCTCCAGCAAATTAAATAGAGTCTGAGTTTTGATCTGAGG